CACAGTTAAGAGGGACCAGTTAGATCCAGCCACAGTCACCACAGATAAGAGGGACCAGTTAGATCCAGCCCCAGTCATCACAGTTAAGAGGGACCAGTTAGATCCAGCCACAGTCACCACAGTTAAGAGGGACCAGTTAGATCCAGCCACAGTCACCACAGTTAAGAGGGACCAGTTAGATCCAGCCCCAGACACCACAGTTAAGAGGGACCAGTTAGATCCAGCCACAGTCACCACAGTTAAGAGGGACCAGTTAGATCCAGCCCCAGTCACACAGTTATGAGGGACCAGTTAGATGCAGCCACAGTCACCACAGTTAAGAGGGACCAGTTAAAGTCAGCCACAGTCTACCACAGTTAAGAGGTTGGTTAGATCAGCCCAGTCATTGGTTAAGAGGGACCAGTTAGATCCAGCCACAGTCTACAGATAAGAGGGACCAGTTAGATCCAGCCCAGTCATCACGGACAAGAAGGGACCAGTTAGGTCCCAGCCACAGTCACCACAGTTAAGAGGACCAGTTAGACCCAGCCACAGTACACAGTTAGAGGACCGGTTAGATCAGCAGTACACAGTTGTAGGGACAGGTTTAGATGCAGCCACAGTCACCACAGTTAGAGGACCAGTTGGTTTCAGTCTACAGTTACATGAGTCAGTTGACCGTGGTACGTTTGAGATTTCACACACCTGGCCGGAATCACATTGATATAACTGCCCAATTATCTACATTAATTAGGGGAACTTTATCTATGTATGTGTGTGTGTGTGTGTGTGTGTGTGTGTGTGTGTGTGTGTGTGTGTGTGTGTGTGTGTTTGTGTGTGTGTGTGAGAATCATTATTTTAGCAATGACTCAATAAACTTTTCCACCATTATTTCCACCACCACTACCCTCCGTGCCAACACTGAACACACACCCTCTCCACCCCTGCCAACACTGAGCTCACCACCTCCCCCCTGCCAACACGTGAACAGTAATACTGCCTCAGCTTGGATCACTCGGCTTGGATCACTCAGCTAGTCATAAATACTGAACTATTTTCACATGAATTCTTTATCTCGGCCAGAAAGCTTTTGCCCTCCTACCCTGAAATGTTTACATAGCCCCGGCACCCAAAGTCTTGAGGAGAGAGGCCAAATCTACTTCTGGTCATAAAGCCAGAGCAGATCCTTCTACTTCTGTAGCAAGGTCGTAAGGGAGGATTCTGGATGCAGTGAGATTCCTCCTCCCCTCCCCAACCCCTCTCGCCCATTTTCCACCCCCCTCCCCCCTAGCTTATTTATCACCTGAAGATTAACCACCCCCAACACTACCTGATGCAGTTAGTTGAAATTATAGTAGATTAGGTTAGGGTAGGTTAAGTTAGGTTAGGTTAAGTTAGAGTAAGCTGGGTATGGTTAGGTTAGGCTGGGGTTGTTTAGGTTAGGTTAGATCAAATTAGGTTAGGTTAGGCTAAGATAGGTATGGTTAGGGTAGTTTAGCCTAGGTTAAATACTTCTTGATTGTGTGTGTGTGTGTGTGTGTGTGTGTGTGTGTGTGTGTGTGTGGGGTCGTCTCCATCCTAAATTGATCTGTTAATTGAGATATAACACCTTGAATACGATGAGTTAACCCCTTGAATACGACGAGTTAACCGCTTGAGTATAATGACTTAACCCCTTGAGTACGATGACTTAACCCCTTCCTTTAAACCATCTCTTAAAATATATATATATACATATAATTTTAAGTATTAAGATGTTTGTAACACTTATCCGTAATAACCAGTATAATATATGTTGTCGAGGTAATGATTATATTGTACCGTAAAGAGGACGACATGACTGGTATATTGTAATATATTGTAATGTAGATGATAGTAATGTTATATAATAATTCCTTGAGATGAATGTACAGTATGAGGTACCACTATGAGGGTAGGAGCAGAGTATATACAGTACAGCGCTCGCCTCCAGGGGTCCCAGTTCACCCAGCTGTAAATGGGTAACTTTAGTTTACAACTTGAGGACGGGAAGGCGGTCGAGTGCAGTACCGGCCACGCTGCCTCCTTGTGTACCGAAGACTTTGTATACAGTGTGCTGTATCCACATTGTCTCTAACGGGCAGTCACGGCTATGGGACCCACTTTCACTAAGAGGGTTCACACTCTCGCTTGACTCAGCCATGTCGGTATTATTTTTAGTGTTCACTTTGTATCTCGATTTTTCTGGCTAAATAAAATGTTTCAATAACACTATGATTTAACACTTTGAGTCCGACGACTTAACCGTTGAGTACAATGGCTACATCATTTGAGTACAATGATTTAACCCCATGAGTACGGTAATTTAACCCCTTGAGTATGGTGATTTAACCCCTTGAATACAATGATTAAACCCTTTGAGAATCATGGTTTAACCCCTTGATTACAATGAGTATGGTGATTTAACCCCTTGAGTACAATGATTAAACCCCTTGAGTATAATGGCTTAACCCCTTGAATACAATGACTTAACCCTTTTAACCCCCTGAGAACGGTGATTTAACCCCATAAATACGACAGCTTCACCCATTGAGTACGATAACTTAACCCCAGAAGTACAATGACTTTAGACAACACAATGAAGTTTTCTTGTAGTTATAAATAGTCTTTGGGTCACCTACCTGTCTGACTGTACCCAATAACAACACCTTTCTTCCTGTGGGTCTTCCTCACCTGCCACGTGTTATCCTCACCTGTCACGCGTTATCCTCACCTGTCACGTGTTATCCTCACCTGTCAAGTGCTATCCTCACCTGTCAAGTTCTAACCTCACCTGCCATTTACTATCATCACCTGTCATCTGCTTACCTCACCTGCCATGTGCTAGACTCACCTGTCACGTATTTTCCTCACCTGTCACGTGTTATCCTCACCTGTCAAGTGCTATCCTCACCTGTCAAGTTCTAATCTCACCTGCCATTTACTATCATCACCTGTCATCTGCTTACCTCACCTGCCACGTGCTATCTCACCTGCCACGTGTTATCCTCACCTGTCAGGTTCATAACCTCACCTGTCATTTACTATCCACACCTGCCACGTGCTATCCTCACCTGTCAGATGATATCCGCACCTGTCAAGTGCTATCTTCACCTGTCACGTGATATCATCACCTGTCACGTGATATCACCTGTCAAGTGCTATCCTCACCTGTTACGTGATATCCTCACCTGTCACGTGCTATCCTCACCTGTCAAGTGCTATCCTCGCCTGTCACATGATATCCTCACCTGTCACGTGATATCCTCACCTGTCACGTGATATTCTCACCTGTCACGTGATATCCTCACCTGTCACGTGATATCCTCACCTGTCACGTGCTATCCTCACTTTTCACTGCTATCCTCACCTGTCACGTGCTATCCTCACTTTTCACTGCTATCCTCACCTGTCAGGTGTTATCCTCACACCTGTCAAGTGCCTCCTCGCCTGTCGCATGATATTCTCACCTGTCGTGATATCTCACCTGTCACGTGCTATCCTCACTTTCACTGCTATCTCTCACCTGTTAGATGATATCCACTTTTCCATCGAAGTGCTATCTTCACCTGTCACGTGATATATCCCACCTGTCACGTGATATCACCTGTCAAGTGCTTTATCCTCACCTGTTACGTGATATCCTCACCTGTCACATTGCTATCCTCACCTGTCAAGTGCTATCCTCGCCTGTCATGATATCCTCACCTGTCACGTGATATCCTCTCACCTGTCACGTGGGTATTCTCACCTGTCGTGATATTCTCACCTGTCACGTACGATATTCTCTCACCTGTCAAGTGCTATCTCGCCTGTCACATGATATTCTCTGTCGTGATATTCTCACCTGTCAAGTGCTATCCTCGCCTGTCACATGATATTCTCACCTGTCACGTGATATCCTCACCTGTCACGTGATATTCTCACCTGTCAAGTGCTATCCTCGCCTGTCACATGATATTCTCACCTGTCAAGTGCTATCCTCGCCTGTCACATGATATTCTCACCTGTCACGTGGTATCCTCACCTGTCACGTGATATCCTCACCTGTCACGTGCTATCCTCACTTTTCACTGCTATCCTCACCTGTCAGGTGTTACCCTCACCTGCCAGTGTGTCTCTCTCAGTACCGACAAACACAGGTTATTATGCAGCTCACACCTGCTATAGTATGTTCCTCTCACTTCCCTCACATGCCAGCGTCGTGCCTCTGTATTTAAAGTGGTTCCCGTGCTTGTTAACCCAAATTTCGAATCACCTAATGATTAAACCTCTCCAGTGGTATTTGGGAAAAGTTTACTTAGGTTAGGTTAGATAGGATAGGGTAGGGTAAGGTAGGTTAGGTTAGATTAGATTTGGTTAACGTTAGGGCGGTTACTTTTCAGGCTAAATATGGTGTGTAAACTTGAGTTGATCTGCAGTACGTAGTGACGGGTTACACAGCTCTAGTGTCGTGTCGTAAGAACATCCAGGAGCCATTTTGGGGGGACGACTCTCCGGCCGCCAGTCATCGCATGAGCCGGTAGGAGGACACACTGGTGTCATCACCCGTGGTTGGCAGAACATCAACAGTCGTGTGTGTGTAGTGGCGGCCAGAATTCCCGCATCCACTGGGCAAAGCTCTCCCTTATTCCCGTGACACGTTTCCCTTTGCCCCTTCTAAGAACGCTCCCCTAGAAACCCGCCCTTGCAGAAGTTTAATCATTTCATCCCATCTGGAAGCCCGAATGCGCTATAGTCTTGATTACTTCCTCGGGGGAAGCGGAGTCGCTGACGCCACCGACTCAACCGAGGGGGGAAATGGAGTCAGCTCTTTCCCCACTGGAATCAGAGCGCAGTATTCATTCTCTTTCTCTCTCTTCCGTTTTGGGGGGTAATATTAGTTGTTCTTTTTTATCTATTATTTTATTACTAGAATTTGTTGTTATTGTTTATGTTGACGGGAGATAAAGTGCCTCCTCGCAGGGTCCTGAAGTACAGAGACTGTGTACCGGGTTATTGTGTGACTGTGGAGGCTGAGAGAGAGAGAGAGAGAGAGAGAGAGAGAGGAGACCAACAGAAAACGGTGATTCTTAAAGTTGAAGGCGCCGATGGTGTGGGCGTTGTCCATTGGCGCTCTTTTGACGACCCCCCTCCACACACACACTCTGCCCTCCTGGTCGTGTGATGGCAAGTGATAAACTGACACAGGTGTAGGAACAAGGTGTCAGGGAGGATACACTCTACCTGCTGGACCGCCCTGACCATTAGTGTGTGTGTGTGTAGTGCATCTGGTGAAGGTGTTTT